TATTTGCATATATAGCTATTTAATAAAGTTAAATAAAATTAAAAACTCAGTTCCTCTGTTCCATTAGCTACATTCCAGGTAGTCACTCAGTAGCTCCATGTGGCTAGTGGCTACCATATTGGATTGAGAAAATGCAGAACATTTTTATCATGGCACAGAGTTGGATAGCACTGATGTAGGTTATTCCAGGGAACAGAAGTAAGAGCACTAATATGTGTCAGAGTAATAAGATTTTTAATAACTTCCGGAGAGATTAGCTATCTTTAGACAAGGTTTGTCCCAGACAAGGCATCTTTCTGTGTAGTTCTGGTTTACTTATGTATTCTGAAGGTGGCATTTTATGCCTTTCTTTCAGAATTAATATAATTGTTTATAGCCACTTGGCCTTTCTCATAGCCATTTTGTCAGTTTGTTGTTCTTCCTTTTATATAGACAAAGGAAGTATAACACAGAAAGTTATCCAGGGAACAAGGTGAAAGAGTCGAAATCTCCATTCTTTTGTTTCCATTCTCCAAATGGAAACCTGCAAATCACTGGGCCTTGTAAAGCTGGTTGTCCTAGAATTAATAACAGTAGTGACAATCATAATTGTTGAGTCAATTATTATTCTACATAATTTTTTTGGCAATGATTTACTGCTTAGAGGAACCTCAGAAGATTTTACATAGACTCTGTTGATCTAGTTCTTTTTACTCTAAAATAAAGTAGGGAAGTAGGTCAGTGCCTGGGCTAAAAGCAAAAAGTAAGCAGTCTCATTGTTTTTCCTAACGTCATTACATATTCTTCTTGGCTCTGAGACCAACACCCCCAGAGCCTGCTGGCGTGGTGCTCTCTGACTTGTGGACTTACTCCGTGTGGCATCTGTCCTAGAGGAGCCTTCTAGGTGGCCCCTTGCCAAGGGGACAGGCAGAATTGGCACTCAGGATCTTGTTGCAGTTTGTAGGCAAGCCGCCAGCAGAGATGTATATGCCTGTGTCCAGGGCCTGGAAGTGGTCGCTGTGCCCACGAGAGATACCTAGAAGATCCCAGCTCATGAAATATGAAGCAGTGACAGTGGGTCTTTAAGTCTCACCATATCCACGTTCTGTAGGCACCTTTCCTTAGGGGTGAGACATTGGAAAAGTCACTTTACACTGCTGTAACTCTTCATTGTTTCATCCCCAAAACAGAGATGATGATTCCAACCGGACCTGTTGTCGTGCTATATCAAGTTGTTGTGCTATGTCAAATCCTTGGCAGAGGTTTCTGGCAAAGAGTTGGCCCTCAATAAATATCACGTGAATTGAATCTAAGTTCTAGCACTGTGCTGGGTGCTGACGGTGGCTAGGGAGTAAAGAGAAGCAAGCTAGTCTAATTTTTGAAGCCCAGGATCAGATGTTCACAAATGGGAGGTCTTCCTGAGGGCTTTGCTGAGATCTGGGGTATCTCTTCCTAGGATTACTTCTCCAGAAAGAGCACGTTGGCTCTCCGTGGCCCCCAAAGGTTTACGTGCCGAACACATGATTTCTGGCTGGCTTAGATGTGTCAGCGCCTACGGCCCCACGAGGACAGAAGACGACAGCGAGTCTCCACTAGAAATGAGCATCAGCCAGGGAGAAAGTTGGGAGTCCAAAGGAGGAGGAGCTGGGGTGGATTAGGGTAGAGTCAACCAAGATGTCGCAATACCAGCAGGGTTCAGTGGGCTTTGGCAACACTGGGGTGGTTGGTGGGCGAGGACCACCTATTTTGTATAGAAGCTTTTGATTAGGAGGGTGTGGTGGTGCTGCTGTTTTTAATTTATTTGACAGCTGGATGTCCCTGGATTTAATTAAGGAGGAGATCGTTCCGCCTTTCGCACTGGAAGCAAATCATTGGAACATTTATTTCCAAAATGGCAGGTAGGCAGCGAGGAGGTAGGTGTGGATGAGAGGCACTCATTGTTGGCTGTGGGAGTAGAGAAGAAGGAAGTCTGTGGAGGTGCAGATGCTCTTGTGTGATTATTGAGTAACCGTGGATTTTAAAGTAGCCTAAATGAGGTTTGAATTCTAGCACTACAATTTACAAGCTGGTAGTCTCAGGAAAGGAACTTATTTCTTAGAAGTTGGCATCTTAAAAATACTACTTTTCCATAAGATTGTTATAAGGAATAAAAATGTAAAGCACCGAGCACAGTCTCTGGTATGTAAGTGTTCACTAAAAGATATGGATTTATTATTTAGCCTATGAATTGTGTTTCAGTCTGTACTATCAAAACTTTGAATTGAAAAAAGCACCTGAAATGAGTGACCATCACAAATCTGCGTCACAAATGCAAAGAAGGAATTAGCATCGGAAATATCTGACACAGAGCATTAATTCTGTGCTGTGGGCTGCACTAAGCCCATGACTCTGTGGAGTCTGTTATTCCCATTTTGCAGATGGTCCGACGCCCAGAGCAACACGGTTAGGAAGTGGGGGTGCCAGGACTCAGAGCCTGCTGTACCACGCTGCCTCAGGAAGGCGAAAGGTCCCCAGACATCTCTAAGGATGGCTAGTGGCAAAGGGTTTTTAAGTGTGTTCCCACTGTCATGAAGACCGAAGGTATAATGGCATAAACCCTCTTCTCAGCTTCCCTTCCTTTATGCGTCTTGGTGAGTTTATATTTTTTGAGAAAGTGTAAGTGGCTTCTCGTCTGCAGAAACATTGAAGAATGCTTGCTCCAGAATTCTAAGTGAAAGCATCAGGACAAGTATTCTGCAACCCAGCTCCTCCATCTTGTATTAAATGGCGCTCTGTAAAGACAAGAGGCAACAGCCCCTGTTTTTGAACTTCCGTTTTTTGTTAGCTGAGACCTGCGGCAGTACCTTCCTCTTTTCGTTCTAGCTGATTGTCAGCAGCGGCAACCACAGTGCCTTCCTGTCCCAGAAATAAGTCTTGCCACACTCTCAGCTCTTGACTTGCTGTGAGTGCTACCTTCCAGAGTACCACAGGGGGCTCTGCCACCTCCACCCTGCCACGGTCACGGCTTCTCGGAGTTAAAGTGTTTATTGAATTCTCCAGAAGTGATTTAAAAATGAGGATAGGTGCAGAAGAACAAGATAAACGATCTAGCTCCAATGTAAACAAGCGTTACATTACACCTAAATTGTTGAAAGAAGATTTTGTACTCAATATTTTATTCAGCAGAACATTTTTTATAACAATAAGGTTGATTAGTGCAAGCTCCGAAAGTGCTTCAAGTTAGACAGTCTGATTGTTTATCTCAAGGGTGAAAAAACAAAGTGGTTAAAAGAAGGGGGATGAAGCCAGGACCTAGTGTGGGGAGGATTGACATCGTTTTTCTTTCTCGATGAATTCTACTTCAGGATTCCATAGCTCCTTTCCATAGGTCTTTCCAGCATCATCTTTTTGTATTTTTAAGGGCTCAAGGCTAGCCTAGACACACAGCAGATTTAAAGTGCTCCGATATTTTTTTGATTATTTGTTTTAACCAAATAAGGAACTCTGCTTAAGATCTCTTGATTGTCTCTTACTCTTCTGCTGCTAAGGCAGAAGGGGAAGTCACACCTGCCCTTTGCACTTTACTTCAGTCAAAGCCTTTGTGACTTTTCTGCTTCGTGGGGTGGGGGCTGCTCATGGACAGGGCTCTGCACTAGTTTAGGTGCCTTCTGTTTACACAGGCTGAGCAGCTCGGTGCTGCAAGTGAATGCTGCTCAGAGGCATTCAGCCTTCTCACTTGGCAGAGTAGGTGGGTGTAGGGTGCATTTGGAGGGGGGCAGGCAAAGAGGGTATGTGGTTTTGCTTTTTACTATTCTAGCTCAAGTGTTGGGGGGGGATGACCCAAGTGAAAAAGAAATGTCTTCATCATCATATTGCATGACAGTGACTAGGATTGAAGGCTCTAAAAATCTGCTCTTCCATTTCTTCCAAATGGAGGTTTTGGAAACAGTGTTAAGGAAGGCTGATATGCAAAAGCTTATGGATGTACTGTTTGTATCAGCCCCAAATATTTACTGAAGCTAAGAGAAGAAAAGGCAGACTTTTCTTTTTTTCTCTCCCAAACGTGTGATTGTTTAGAACTCAAGTGCAACATCTGGAAGTCAGATACACAGAGAGCAATTTATGGAGTGTGAAAGATTTGAAATATTCAGTGTCCTTTAGTGGGAACTCAACTTTCTGGGGCTGCATTTCCCTCCCCACCCATCTCCCGGCACAAAGCAGGCAATTCTGAGATCTCCTCTGCTTCTCTGAATCCAGCCCTTTGTGCCTGGGTCCCCTAAACAATGTGCTTTTTAAAGGGGAGCCCCCTCTCTGCCCTGGCCCTTTTCTCCAGCGTGGGCAGCCAATCAGCGGCGCAGAGCTGCAGAGCTGGACCGCTTTCCATTGCGAGCGAGCAACAACGTACTAATTTGATGCACACATGGATGCCTCGCGCACTCCTGCAAATTCATCACCAGCATCTTGCATTAGTCATCTGACGGACTGCCAAGTGTTTCATTTTCTTTCCATGTGACTTTATTATTACCACCTCTCTCTCCTCTCTTTCCAAAAAAAACCTCCCAGAAAGGGCGGGGTGGGGGTGGGGGGACCGGGGGAGAGGGGGAGAGAGAGAGGAATCCGGCAGGAACCCAGCTCTGCCTCTCTCCCCCAGCCAGCGCGAGCCAGCGCAGGGCTGATAAGCGGGCGGCGGCGATGGCAGCCTGGCGGAGCTACGCCCGCACTTAAGTTGCAGCCGCGGGGAGATGTGCACGCCCCGGGTGACAGCAGCCGGCGGGGCGCTGGCCCGGGCTCGGGCGGCGACGCTGGACGGCAGCGCGCACTGAGACCTCGCCCTCGCCGCCGCCGCCGCCTCGGGGAGCAGCCTGATGGTGCCTCCGCTTTGTTTTAGTTCATCACATTTCCACGTCTCATTAGGCACTTTCCCCGTGCTCCTCTTCCTCCTGCTTCCGCCTGCCCACCCGCCCCCGCCCCCACTATTTTTTTTCTTCCTGTCCCTCGCCCGTGCAGCCCTAACTCTGGCTCCCGGTTCCGTTTTTTGACAGTAACGGCACAGCCAACAAGATGAACGGGGCTTTGGATCACTCAGACCAACCAGACCCAGATGCCATTAAGATGTTCGTCGGACAGATACCCCGCTCGTGGTCGGAAAAGGAGCTGAAAGAACTTTTTGAGCCTTACGGAGCCGTCTACCAGATCAACGTCCTCCGGGACCGGAGTCAGAACCCTCCCCAGAGCAAAGGTACGGGGGCGCGTGCCTGTGCGCGCGCGCGTGCGCTCGGGGGTCGCCCAGGTGGCCGGGGGTGGCGGGGACTGTCGGAGCCTGCGGGAGGGCAGCGCGGGGCCGGGTGGTGCTAGGGGCTCCTCCCGGCTCCTCCCGCGCCCCCGCCCGCCCGCTGGGACAGGTTGGACCCGGGAGGGAGGAGGGACGAGCGCGGGCGCGGCCGAGCCTCTCTGTCCAGGCGCGTGATCGCTCCCGCCGGGAGGTCACTTTCTAGGCAGCGCGGGCCCGCCTTGGGCGGGTGGGTGCTTCGAGGAAGCGTGTTTCTCAGCCTTGCATCTTGGACTCTGACTCTTCCTTATACCTCTGCCTGCCCAGGATCGCCCATGTCATGACAGTCGCATGTCACTTTTCTGTAGCCTGCGGGGATCTTGCAATGCAGGATAAACGGCGAATGCAGTGCCGCTGGTGCAAGCAAGGAAGGGCTTGCCTTGGAGGACGGACACCCGTTCGTTCTTGGGGGCTAGGCGTGGGGACCATTAAGTGAAGTGTGCTTTTCAGAGCCGGGAGTGGCGCCCTAGTGGCCTGAGACAGTTAGCACACCTTCAGAAATGCTCCAGGTTTACGCCCTTACCAGGGGTGAGACCAGAGTGCACGATCCGGTGGAGGTTATTGCCTCCATTTTAGGACGACAGTGATGGGTGATGGGGGAGGTGGGTGCAAGGTATTAAGAGAGAGGCCAGAGACCTTTGTACCGGTGGCGCTTCTGTCTGTGAGCTCTACTTTGTAAGCTCTGTGCAGACCGAATTTAAAATATCCCCTCTGCTGCTACCACCTGGTCTCTGTCACTGTTTTAACCTTCTCGCTTTAGTGATTGTGCTCCTTCTCTGTTCTTGATCTCTCAGTCTCTCTGCTCAGGGCTCTTTCTGTGAGTCTCACGGTTTCTTTTTCTCTGTGCCTTGGTATTTCCGTCTGGCATGTTATTTCATTTCTATGTCGCTTTTCGTAAGAGCTCCTGAAAGCATTGTTTGCCTTGTTTATACGCTTTGGTTGGGCACATGAACACCAACACTCTTCTCTGAGCTTTTTTTTTTTTTCTGACTGGCAAGGTGAAATTATAGGACTAAGACGTCTTTTAAGACTCTGATGTTCTGTGACTCCAGGAAATGTTGGACCATCTCTAGTTCCTTATGGTTGCTGAGGGCTGATACTTCTTTTGGGAGCCTCGTAGGGAATTTGAAAGCCCCTGGACAATACTTGATTTATAAAGGTTGAGCAGGTTTAGCTTCAGCTTGTGTTCATCAGACTCTGGTTTCCAAACATACCCTAGAATACCAAGGGGTTGTTAAAAAAAAAAAAAAGCATAGAATTCTGTCACCACAGACTTGATTGTCCCATAATTTGAGACATTAATAGAAAATTTGGTATTAATAGAAAATTTGGTATCTGAAAATTAGTAGAATTGAAAACTTCACAAAGGAGAGCAGTATTGAGAACCTTCATTGAACATGTTCTGGAACTGTTTACATGTTTCCCAAATGGAGAAGACTAGAGTTGGTTTTGGTAATTAATTTTCTCAGTATCCTATTGAGGAAAAGGGGGTATAATGTCCAGAACTAGGTAGCTGAGGAATCACCACATAAGGCCTCTCCCACCATCCGGAGTGGCACCTGCAGAAAACTAGGCCACAGGCAGTAAACTCCACTTTAGAGCAATAGCCACAATTTGTCCTTGAGTAGCAAAATAGTGACTCCAAATTTTGGTGTACGTCAGCAATTTTCAAAATGATCTCTGACAAAATGATCAGTGCTCATCTACTGTTATGACGCCCGGTTACTTGCACTTTAGCTTAGGATACGTGTCTTACCTTGGCCAGAAAGACCTTTTTCCTAGTCAAGAAAGTACTTGCGCATGGCCTACTTATTCTGCCATTTTCTCTCTTTTGCCCAGATACTCCTCTGAGCAGCATCTTGACCAGACTACATTTCAGACTGTTCATTTTAACTTCCATCCACCAGGTCTTAAAATGAATTTGTTGGAAATAGTTTGCAGAAGCCCAGGGTCTTAAAGGAGAACGGAAGTCCGAGGAGGAAACTGACTTTTTTTTTTGAGCACATGCTATGCACCAGTCCACGTTAAGAGCTTTACGTGTGTTCTCATTTCCTTCTTATCAAAATCTAGGAGGAAGGTGGTATAGGTCACATTGTGCAGATGAGGAAACTGAGGCTCAGAGAAAGTTACAAAGTGTTGCCCAGTGTATGCAGCTAGTAAGTGACGGAGTGGAGATTTGCACATGATCCATCTATTTTCATGGGCGGGACCATTTTGCCTCTCCGTGAGATGAGAGCGCAGACCTGCCTTGGTCTGCTGTATTTCAGGGCTTGGGACAGAGGCCATCTCCTTGACCTGAGCATTCCCCAAGTGAAAGGAAGGAATTTCGCCCTTTGAGAGTGGATTGATTTCATGTCTTTGTGTTTCGTTTTTATACGTATGGGTTTAGATTGTACATCACTCCAACTCATGGTGTCATGGGATAGGAGTTACAGATGAAATCATTCAAATCTTACCTTTGGAAATATAGGTCAATTCCCATTACTGTGAACTCCAAGTCTCACATCAAATATTGCTTGAAGTACATGGGCTGTCAGCCAAAGCTTGAAAGGGTTTTTGTTATACAGACATCTCTGTTGTAAAGGTATTTGTTGTGATGGGATTTGAGCTGTATAATGACATTCCTCTCGGAGGATTACAGCCCTTAGCCGCTTACCTAGAGAGACAACAGCCCCCACTTTCTTGACATTGATATCTGTATGCACCATATATTATACGCCTGTTTGTATATAAAATAGGAACCCAAATTTACATTGATTCAGACTATGTCGGCAGTGTACAATTACCATGTTTTCGCAGGGCTGATGTCAGAGCCTCAGAAACTAGAATTACTGGAGGTTCTGTCTAAATGTGGTTTAAATTATCTAAATAGGGCTTTTGGAGTGGCCCTGATGCAGAGCCTTCTCAACATGGATGGTTCCAAGGAAAGAGACAAAGTCGGGCTATTATCTAATCCAGGTGAATTAGATTTTTCTCTCATTTTGCAGTTTTTGTTCTGCTTAGTCTTGAGGCACATAAACTTTGTTCTATTTTTGAAATCCTCTCTTAAGAGAGCGTAAGCTAATCTGTTTCTTCTCCCTGTAGGTATATGTAGCGACCAGGCAGGCTCCTCACCTCAGGGGAATCAGGCTGAGTAAACTGTTGGGCCTGCTAGGACTTAGGGAGGAGCATGTTTTATTCAGTGGTCACCTGTTGAGTCTATGGACAGTGAGAAATACCCCATGGTAGTTACCAGCCTGGCCTTCAAAGTCAGACAAGCCTAAATTCGGTTTTTGGCTCTACCACTTCCTACACATTGGTCTTGGCACATTACTTAATCACATCTGAAAGTGGAGACGGTTCTTCATACTGTTGCTAAGATAATGAGGTTTTGTGCTTTCCACAGAGCTGGAATATGGTAGGAGCTAATTGTGGTGGCGATGATTATTAAGTACAGTTATCATCATCATCATCACTGTCTCCAGGAATTTAAAATCTAATAGGAACAATAAAGCAAGCTCACAGGTAACTATAATGTAAAAGAACATTTGATAAGAGTAAAAAAGAAAAGATGTGGAAGTTCAGAAAAGGAACAAATAACTTGCAGCTTACAGGAGATAGGAAAAGATAGCATCTTTATCATTTTTGAAAACAATAGGATTTCAGTAAGGGAAGATCATATTGAACATTACAACCGGACGGAACAGCTCAGTGATGTAGGCATTTGGGCAAGAAAATGCAGGATGTGTTCTGGAAACTGTGCCTTTTCCCAGAGTTCAGAGGAAACGTGGAATATGTGAAAAAAAAAAATGGAAGAAGGGTTGATCGTGAAGCCTAGAGCCAGTTCTGAGAGGGCCTTCATTCTCAGGCTAAAGTATTTAAAATTCCTTTGTTAGGCAGGCCAGGCTGTAGGAAGGGCGTTAGCAGAAAGGGGCCTCGAGGCTGGTGCAGTGTGCTGTTTTGGGTTGAGATGAGGACATTGTCATAGCAGTGGCAAGGGAGGAACTGAGTGACACAGATGTGACCATGGTGGAAGGAAGGGGACTTGACAACTAAACCAGGGCAGTGCTGACCAGGAGGTCTTGGCTTAACTGGGGGAAATGGGAGAGCAGTTGGCGATGGTGGGAACGGAAGGAGAGGAGTACGAAGTTCGGTTTTGATGGAGTTGAGTCTGAGGTGCCACAACAGAGAGAAGAAGAAAAGCCATTGGTTTGGTGGTTGGGAGGACTTGAGCATTTCGGAAGAAGGGAAGGAGGGTGGAGGGCAGGGTGGGGAGAGGAACTTGCATAGGTGTTGGTGCGGGGACGACAGAGTTTGTTTATTGCTGTTTTTACAAATGTGTACAAATGACAAGTTGCATAGCAAAGGGAAGTAGTGATCATGTAAGATAAACACTGAGTCGCAGGCCTTGCAGAGACAGGGAAAGCTGCAGAGCTCATGCAGGAGGTGGAAGGAGACTTCATTTGAGACAGCAGGGCAGTTCAGAGGAAGTCACAACACAGAAAATTTCAGGATGGCGAAGGGAAGTGGGGGAGACGCTCAGGACAGATGCCCTTGGTCTCCTCCGTAAATGGTCAGTTTCCGAGAAGCCAGGTGGAATTGAAGACTTAAGAAGAATGGAGGAGGTTTGAAATGACTGTTTTGGAAAATTGGATAGGATGAAGAATAGAAGAATTGTGGCAGAGCAGGGAGAGGCCGGTGACACTCGGATCGTGTTGACTATTCTGTGGGCTCTGACGGGTGTGGCTCTGGGCTGTCTGTCCATGAGTGAGCAGAGGGGGCCCAGAGCTGGAGGTGGCCAAGGCGTGTGTGGCAGAAGGTTGGGAAGGGTGGCAAATGTGACCGTGTGGGTGACCGTGTTCTCCCTGAGGTCTTAAAGTAGGGGAGTTGGCAGAGCTGAAGCAGGCGGCTCCCGGTGTGGGGAGGAGGAG